AGTATTCTGAGCCTATTGGCCCTGCACTGAGGGCCACGTGGTCCAGCACACAGATCTATACTGGTCCCTCCTCCCCGGCACACAGAGTTGAGCAATTGTTGCGTAATCCCCAATGTCACAGGTCTGGACCTGATCCAGAGCTGACAAGGAGCACACAAGTGGAGAGTGGAACAGCACACAAAGAGCATAGACCGGATAACGTGTTGGACTAATGCTTCAAACTACCAAATCCTGACAAAAGAAGCTTTGTTATAAGCAAGAAGTTTCTGTTTGATGGAAGTGAGTATGTGAGATGAGGCCCAGGCCATGCTCCTCAGCACCCACAGGGTGGAACCAACTCACCCCTCAGCCTGCTGTGCTTATAGTTGTCTAAGGGTGCTCCATCCCAGCAGTCACCTTTACATGTACTCCTGCACCTGACCCTGAGAGGATGGTCTGCAGGGGCGTATATAAAAAGGAAATCTACCCCATGTCACAGCCAGCACACCAGACACTTAAAGGCATGAGCCAGAGGGAGAGAGGTGGTAAAGAACATGTCCAAAACACTGGCTTTGTTCATAGTCAGGAGCTGTGGAGAAAACCAATTGAAATAAAACCTCCCCAGTGTGCAACCTCTCCCCAGGACCCTCCATGGAATTAAGGGAAAGCCCTCTGAGACAAGGCATGTGGAATCTGAACCTCTTAGTCTCACACTACTACGTATAACTAGTATAAAATCTGGTTAGGGTTCTGCACCGTTCATGCCAAAGGCCCACCGAAAGTTGGAATAGTGCTAGAATCTATCCCAGTCACTAACACGGCCAAGCCCAGCACTCCTCCCAGTGCCCTGTCTAGGGAAGCCACACTGCACCCTCTAGGGGACCATGCAAGTGCAGGCTCTGCTCCAGGGTGCGGGCACCTGAACAGGTGAGCAACAGATGGAGACCCAGTGATTGCTAGGTGTCAGTCAGCATTGCTGGGCAAAGGTCAGAGCAGGCACATGCATTATCATCCCCAGTGGAGTATGTTTTTTTGTTATAGCTGGTGTCCATGTATTCCAGGAGCAGATGGATGGCATGACACATGACACATCTGCGTAGTATGGCCCAAAACAAGAGGTCAGAGAGAAGAGATCCTGAATCTGTTCTTATCTCTTCCATGTGAGCTGCAACCCATGTTTCATGCCTGCTCACCCTGCAATCACAGGGCCCACACAAGGAATTCCAGAGAGCCTTGGACAGGTAAAGTTTCCAATAAGCCCTACAGGAACCACGGCAGCTACTCAGTGGCTCTCCCATTCCCACCCTCTGAGCAGACCCCTCACCCGCCCCAGGGATGTCCCAGTATCTCAGAATCATGGACATGGTGCTGCTGGTGTAGAGTGCAGCTGGGTTTCCGGCGGACTGGCCTGGAACTTTCTGCTAGTATGCCCAAAGGCCAGGGGCAGAGTTGACAATTGCCATACTCCTAGGCTAAACCCTCTAGGTGTAGGAAGTTTCAAATCAAATTGTAGCCACCAGGGAATTGTAAGCCAGGTCTGAAAGCCTGGAGGCCAAACGTGGGACCAAGACTGGCCACTTGCCCAAGCCCTCCTTAGCAGCCCCCAGCTGTTGGGGCCCTGGCAGTTGGCAGCACCCTTGGCAGCCCAGCCAAGCCTGCAGAAAACACCACAACTCCCTGCCATTATCAAATGGACATCCTTCTGTCCTCACCACTGGGCTGCCAAGTTCCCTAGGCTCTGGGAAGCTCCAACTGCCAGTACCAGCCTAAAATGGGTGCTAACAATGGAGCATTCAAGTCAGTACATCCCCATAGAAGAGCAATGTTGGGCACTGCCATGCTCCTAGGCAGACACTCCACAGAGCCACGCATCAGAAGCAGCAACCCTAGAAGGCAGGGTATGCCCTGACAGGGGGAAGAGAAAAGAAAAAAAAAAAGCCTCTGTGTTGTCCTTTAAGGGATTTGGGGACCAGCCCTTGGGTCTCCTGACTGAAGCCTTATGGTCATTCACCCAGTAGTGTTTCTCTTTCATCAAGCAGCTGGTGAATCTCCAAGAGGCCCACCTTGCAAGGAGGCAGCATAGCTGAGGTGCACCCTCAGAATTGTCCTGTTGTCAGATAGGTGACATCCTCGAACAGGACAGCGTCCAGGAGGGGATGTGAAGGAAGGTGGGAGAGCCTCTGTGGGGGCAGGAGCAGAGCCCTTTCCTGAAGCAGGAGAGAGCAGCTGGTGACCAGAGATGCCTGGAAGATGTCCAAGAGGACCACAGGGAGGACTGGATCAGACCCTCAGCAGGCTGGGTCCTCAGAGTCAAGCCCTGGCCTTGGCTCCTGACCCACAAGTGTTCTTGGGTATGAAAGGGTGACTCAAATGACATGTATCTGTATAAAGATCTAGGTATTAATTTCTTTATTTGAAAGGCAGGGTCGGCTCTACCTTCAAACCAGAGATGGTCTCCCCAAGAAACTGTTGAACTTATCTGGACAATAAGACGCTGGACTTTATACTTAGTAGATGCTTGCAATGAAAGAATCACAACTGAATTTAAATTGTGGTAATGCAACAAGGTGGAGGAATCCACCGGGGGGCGGGTTGCGGATGGGAGAGGAATCCTAGTGCCTATAAAACTGTGCCACATAATGCAATGTAATCAATAAAAAAAGAAAGAAAAGAAAAGAAAGAAAAGAAGAGAGAAGAGAAGAGAAGAGAAGAGAAGAGAAGAGAAGAGAAGAGAAGAGAAGAGAAGAGAAGAGAAGAGAAGAGAAGAGAAGAGAAGAGAGGCAGGGTGACACTCCCCACATTGCTAAAGTAGTCTGGGCTGAGACAAGGCAGTGCCAGAAAACAAACTTAAACCCCTTCTCCATGTTGGTAGCAGGGACACAGACCATGGGCTACCGTCTGCTGTCTCTCTAGATGCACATTAGCAGGAAGCAGGAATCTTAGGAGGAGCCAGGGTTAAAAATTGAAACTCAGCCATTCTGACATGGGATGTGGGCAACCCCACGGCATCTTAAATGCCCAACTCTCAAATGGCTTAAAGTCAGTCTGATATGACTGTGTAGCAGAACCCCCACAGGAACAATGTACTACCTGTCAGCTTTAATTTTTGTAGGTAGAAGACTTGTTTGAAAACTAAAGAGTATTCCCCAAAAAATGGGCCTGTGGTTTTATTTTGTTTCTCTTTTATGACATTGTGAATATGTGATACCAGGTTGAGTATTGATTTGAACAAAAATGGGGTTCAACAGCTGAAGAACCCAGTTGTTGAACTTGAAGAAGTCAGTTTGGGAAATTAACTAACACATATTAGGAGTGTGCACCAAGAATATCACTAATGATTTCAGCTTACCTGAATACGGTGTGGAGTTGCAGGTTGAGCTTCGTTTCACCGAGTGAAGCCAGACAACACTGGTGGCCTGGGTGTCTCCGTGTTGCTGGGGAGATGGGGCAGCAGGTCACTGGGGCTGGCAGAGGGCAGTCCCTGTTGCAGATGTTCCCCATGCATTCTGACCTGGACCCCTCCACAGAGCTCAGCTCCCCATCTGTGTCCAGGCTGAGACAGCAGCCTAAGCCTCTGGGGGGATTTCCCTAAAGGTTTGCTCACAGTGAGACAGTTCATACCTACATGTTTACCCTCAGTTGTTACACTTCTCACTTTGCTGTTCTAAATCTCTTATCTCTTGCAACTAGATTCAATTGAGAAAGATTTTTAAAGATTTATGTTGAAGGTAATAATTTTAGAGAGCTAGCTCTTTCCATCTGCTAGTTCACTCTCCAGATATCCACAACGGCCAGCACAGGACCTGGCCCAAACCAGGAGATCCTTCTGGGTCTCCCACTTGGGCAGTAGGGATCCAAGTACTGTGGCTATTGTCTGCTGCTTTCCCAGTCCATTAGCAGGGAGCTGCATCAATTCAGCACCCACATGACATACTGACTGCAACTGGTGGCTTAAACCAGTAGGCTGCAACACCATCTACAAAAATATTTTTTAAAATAAAGACAACAATAATTAGAGTAAGAGTGCAGGGGCTGGCCCAGTGACATGTCGAACTAATCCACCTGTAGCACCAGCACCTCATACGGAAGCCAGTTGCTGTCCCAGCTGTTTCACTTCCAATCCAGCGCTTTGCAAGTTGCCTGGGAAAGCAGCAGAGTATGGCCCAGGTGGTTGGCCCTGAATCCATATAAGAGACCTGGAAGAAGCTCCTAGCTTCAAATTGGCCCAGCTCTTGCCAGCTTTAGTGATGTCTGAAAGCCTAGCTCCGCTGCCAAGGGCTCTGCAACTCCCATGGACCCAGCAGAGTGGCCTCTGGGTCAGGCTGGGAAAGCCGTGAGTTCCCACCCTGCGTTCTTCCCCTGAGCACCCAGACCTCGCTCAGGGAGCACCGGGGTCTGGGACCATGAAACTTTCTGGAGGGTGGCTAGAGCAGCTCTGACAACCAGGAAGGAATTCTGAGGAAACGCAAAGCATGAGAAACTTAGGAGGGGGCGGAAGGGGCTGGAGGAGCCAAGGGGAGGGGTGAGTGGAGGGCGGGAGGAGAGGAGGAGACCGGCGGGTCCGGGCGGAAGGGGCGGAGTCCTGCACTCACCAGCCCGGTAAAGCCGCTGGGTTGTCCCGCACAGATCAGTTCCCTGGGCACACAGCAGCAGCAGCAGCAGCAGCAACAGCAGCAACAACACCATGCCGATGACACTGGGTTACTGGGACATCCGCGGGGTGAGCAAGGGGGCTGACCAGGGTATGCCTTAGCAACTGGGGAGATTCGTATTGGTGGTGCTTCCGGAACATAGAGAAAGCTTCTGTCCTCAAGGAGCTCGTGTGTGTGTGTGTGTGTGTGTGTGTGTGTGTGTGTGTGTGTGTGTGTGTGTGTGAGAGAGAGAGAGAGAGAGAGAGAGAGAGAGAGAGAGAAAGAGAAGGGGGGCGGGGGGGAGTATTTAGTACCTGGATTCTTCTAGAGTTAAAGCAGTCAAAACTAGGGAACTGTCCCTCTGATCTTTGTCCCCTACCACCCTCCCAGCTGGCCCACACCGCCCGCCTGCTCCTGGAATACACGGGCACCAGCTATGAGGAAAAGAGATACTCCATGGGAGATGGTAATACACCTGCTTGCTCTGACTTGTGCCCACTGCAGTTGACTGACATCAGAGCCTGCCCTACCCTGCTCCCCTGGATGGTGCAAGACATTGGGGTGCTGGAGATGGGCACTCATGGATCAGTGCTTGGGCTGGATTTTTCTCTGGACTAACCCACAACTTTTGTAAGAAGCATGTCGAATTCATGCACAAATAAGCATTCTTGCCCCCCATACCTTGAATGTGAGACTGGGGTTCAGATCCCACATGTCCTGTCTTGGGGGTCTTGCCCCTGACTCCTTGGGAGGGTCCAGGGAAAGAGGCTCCACACTGGGGAGGTTTTGTTTCACTTGGTCTTCTCCACAGCTCCTGACTTTGACCGAAGCCAGTGGCTGAGTGAGAAATTCAAGCTGGGCCTGGACATTCCCAATGTACGTGCAGGGGATGGTGGCTAGGGATGGTTGATAGTGCAAGGTGTCTGTGCCTCCATCACTTTCCCAAACTTAGAGTTTTCAAAACAGGATCTTGTGCACAACCACTGTACAGTATTTTCCTTGATGTTCCACATTGTAGATCACTCATTTCTTGTATGGAGTATATATATCCAGGACCTGCCATGGGCCAGGCACAGGGGGTACTTGGTCTCCTGTTTCCTCTATCTAGCTCAGGGCATGGGGTCCTGGGCACTTGGGAGCTGAGCTGACTTCCCTCCTCAACTCCACCCACCAGCTGCCCTACCTGATTGACGGCACTCACAAGCTCACCCAGAGCAATGCCATTGTGCGCTACCTCGGCCGCAAGCACAACCTGTGTGAGTGGGGCTGGCTGAGGGCGTGGGGCTGTGGCTGTGCCCTGGGCCTGGCTGGGTGGGATGCTGAGGGTGTCTGCTGTGTGTGCTGCAGGTGGGGAGACGGAAGAGGAGAAGATTCGCGTGGACATTTTGGTTAACCAGGCTATGGACACCCGCTGGCAACTTGGCACTATCTGCTTCAACCCTGACTTTGTGAGTGCCCAAGTGGACTGGATAGGACTTGGCCAGTTCAATGAGGATTTAAACCTTGTGTTCATATCTGCACTGCTCCTGTGTGCCACTGAACACCCCAGGAGGACTAATTCTCCAAGAAATTTTCTATCTGACCAATACATTGATTCAGAAACTCCAAACTGTTGTGAAATCGGTTTTCATAATCTTAGATATAATCCTGATGACCCTGGAGGCAAACTTAATTGTGAAATTTAAAATTCACATTCTGAAAGTGTACTTAACTAACCTGTGACCTTTATCATGGCCATCTTTCATTGTTACTCCCAACATGCATCACTACATGGAAGCAAAGTTCAGTGCATGATAGCAGTTCTCGATGGGTCTGTCCTCAGGTGTATGTGGTTTTCCCAGGGCTACCACCATGCCCTTACAAGATAAGCATATTTCCCCAATGGGCAATGCTAGGTCAGCCCAAGGTCCTGGGTTCCTTTCCCTCCATCCTTTCACATCACATTCTCATCCTTTGTGAACTGTACACATCCCTGTGCCATGCTCAGGAAAGATGGCTGCCTCCCCTGGCCAGCAGGGCCATGTGCAGCCCTGGGCAGGCAACCCATCACCCAAAGTTGTGTCTGCGGGTGCTGACAGTTGTTTGCTCCTTCAGGAGAAGCTGAAGCCCGATTATCTGAAGGATCTCCCTGAGAAGTTGACACTGTACTCCCAGTTCCTGGGGAAGCGGCCCTGGTTTGCAGGGGACAAGGTGAGGCAGAGGGAGGGAGGGAGGCAGGAGCAAGGGGCATGGTTGGTCTCCTCTGGTCCTGAGCTCTCTCCTCCTGGCTTCTGCAGATCACCATTGCTGATTTCCATGTTTATGATGTCTTGGACTGGAACCGTATATTTGCTCCTGGTTGCCTGGATGCATTCCCAAACCTGAAGGATTTCATGGCCAGATTTGAGGTGACTCCCTGCTCCTCTCCCCTTGTCCAGTTCCTTCATGCTCTCTGAGTCCTGGAGCTGGGTTGCAGACCAACCCCTGAGAGCAGGACCCAGGGTTAGCATCCTGCACCTGCTGTGTCCTGTGCATCTGCATATATTCTCACACAGTGGATAGAGCTGTTACTTCCAATTGACACGTAGCAAGCTGAGAAATAGAGGGTAAGGCATCTGTCAGGATCCCAGAGCCAGTCACAGTTGTGCTGGGCTCCCTGAGATCCTCTGGGGTGTATGGGCAACAACCAGAGGTCCTCTGCATTTTGTGCTAAAGGCCGTTGTCCTATCTGGTTCTCCAATCCTTGGAGACTATGGGAGAGGCCAGACAGCAAGCAGTGTGTCTACTGGGCATCTGGAGGGCTGAGACATGTTAGAATGGAGATTCAGTGTCAGAGATACAAACATTCCATAAGCTTGATCTCCAGGGAAGTTGAAGCAATGAGCTCCTCGTGTGGAAACACTGGCTGCTAGATGTATTGTTGGCGCTGGATCTCAGTGGCCACAGGTGGCACCTAAGGTTCTTGTCATGAAGAGTTAATGGTGAAAACGTTCGTTGTCACTGGTTCTAATGCCCAATGTCTAAAATAATGTGTCTGTGACATGGGACAGGTGTTTGATATTTAATTTTATGCACCTGCAAATGTGACTCCATGCTACAATGAGTCAGTTAGAGAAGGGCAGGCAGAGTCGGGGGCAGGGAAGGGGTGACACAGTGTGAATTTGAGTAGCAGAGCCTGACCTTCACTCCTCAGGGTCCCATCAGACATAACCAAGAGGAGTATGGCCACGTCTTCACCTCCCTGGGTCTCATCTATCACCCTGGGACATCTTGTTTGCAAAAAAGCTTTTATCACAGATATGAGTGTTTGCGGTATTAGTCCAACAGATTGTTCACTCTATGATCTTTGCCATATTGTCCTAGCTATGCAAAAATGTGCCTTCTCATCAACTCTGAATCAGTTCCAATCCTGTGCCCTTAGGAATTATGCAGCAGTTGCCGAGCACTGTGTTTTGGGGTTGAGAGACCAGATGGCATCTGTGTGCTAGACCACGTGGCCCTCAGTGCCAGGCCCATTAGGCCCAGAACACTCTGGATCGCCCTGAGTTCTTGAGAACCTCTGTGGGCACTGTCAGCCCTGCCATGAAGATGCATGGCCCAAGAATGTGCTTGACTGAGAAAGTTATTGAACAAGTGTGACACTCAGGCTCCCTCTGAGAGGTGATAGCCAGGACCAGATCATGTTGCAGGTTGGGATGGGTTTGGAGCCTGCACCTGCAGAGCACCCAGCTATTAGCATCTTCCAGATGACCCATCATTCGAGGTGTGGTGTGAGGTATCTGTGATGAAGAATGAACTCCACAGGGTTGAGGTCCTGCTCACAGCCCTATACACTGGCTGTTGTTGGATCTTGCTGGGCTGTTCCTAAACAGATGCTACAGAAAACCCAGTGGGACCATAGACCCTGAGTTCTGCTTTTTTTTTTTCTGCCCCTGCAGGCCCTGCCAAAGATCGCTGCCTACATGAAGTCCAGCCGCTTCCTCCCAAGACCTATATTTCCTAAGGTGGCCACCTGGACGGGAAAATAAGGCACAGTAATTTCAAGGATAGGATCGGCTTTGGGGAGCTCATGCCCCTAGCCCTGCCTCAGCCTTCTCAGTCCTCTCCCTCCACTCTCTCCTCCCAGCCTGCTGCCCCTTGTCCTCTAAGCCAGTCCCTCCCATAGAGTCTTGGCTGGCCCAAGCTCTGCCCAATTCCTCAGCTATGGCTCCCTGGACTGTGGTTCCTGCACTAAGGCCATTACTGTGGCTCCTATCTTCTGCCATGAGGGGCCTGAGTGTCCCTGAACTCCCCAAATGCCAGAGAGGTCTCTGGCCTGTGCTGACCCTGCTCCTGAGTGAGATCTCCCTGGCACTATGTGCTCCCGAGGAAGCCTGAACCTCAGCCTGGGCCTTTCCTCTTCCCTGGGAGCTCTGACTTGGCACTGACAATGCTGGAGTTTCGGGAATTTCTTTTTTCTGTTGCCACAGCAGGACCTGGGAAAGAAGGATGCTGTGGGTGGGTATACCTGGAAAATGGGATGCCAAGGTGTGCTGGTCGTTTCTGTGCCCTGTGCATGTCACTGTGTTTCTTTCTTTGGGTCCCTTTTTCTGCCTGGCTCCTCATTCCTACAGCATTGTGCCATGGCTTGAAACCCCTGCAGCTTAGTCCTGGTTCTGAGAGCTGCAGGGTTGATAGGGAGGGGCTGGCAGTCGTCGGGCACACCCACTGGGAGCTGCTCCAGGGTGCTTTCCCTGACATGGATATTCCTGGTCTATATTTTCAGAATGTTTCTCAATAAATAGTGTCACATTGCCTATAATTGTTGTACTTGTTTGTTTGTTTTTCTACACGAACTGAGAAGAAGTCAATTAACAGAGAAGAGAATCCCTCCGTGTCTTCCCTGTGATATGTGTCATGGTGCCTGGCCTGCATCAGGTGTTCAGGAAGTTTGGAAATGTGGAAGAATTGCCTCCTGGGAATGCAAAGCCAGCCTGTTCTGCCATGAATGGGACTTTGCGCTGTGGAAATAACCATCTGGATCTGAGGAGGCACAGAGTCACATGCAGGAGATTGTAAGCATGCAGGGATCAGAGAAGGTACCTGCAGCTTTCTCTCACGTCACCATTAAAGGTGCTGCACCTGCCCTTGGGACAACCTTCCTGAAATGGGCTGGGCTAGGCTGGTTTGCTGCCCCATGATGTGGCACTACATCAGAACCCGGAATTCCATCAGAGGTCACCTGCAAAGGAGGAAGACTCATGTGGTGAACGCCTATGGAACAGCCTTCTGAAATTGGCGGGACAGTGTACTTGACCTTGGTGTTTTACTGCAGGAGGGGACTTGCGCTGCCAATAGCTGCACAAACGAAAGTAAGCAACAGGTGTAATCAAAGGGTCATTAAGGAATAGGTGACTAATTTAAAAGATACAAGTGAAGGATCAAGGGTAGGCCTAGCTAAATGCTTATGAAATCTCTTGCATGGAAATTGGTTAAATCAATATTTGACTTGAGGACAGAAGAGTTCAAAAGCAATGGAAGATCAAAGTGACACTGTAATAAAAGAAAATAATAAGTGCATATAGATGTACATCTAGTACAGGGTCAGAAAACATTTTCTCTGATGCCCAAGATTTTTGGCTTTCTGGGTCATGATTTGTCACAGTTACTCAACATTTTGGTTTTCAAATGTCACCTGGGACTGATGGTGGCCTAGAGGCTGAAGACCTCGCCTGAACATGCCAGGATCCCATATGGGTGTTGGTCCTAGTCCTGGCAGCGCTGCTTCCCACCGAGCTCCCTGCTTGTGGCCTGGGAAGGCAGTCGTGGATGATCCAAAGCCTTTGACCAAGCACCCATGTGGGAGACCAGGAGGAGGTTTCTGGCTCCTGGCTTCGGATCGGTGCAGCACCAGCTGTTGCAGTCACTTGGGGAGTGAATCGTCGGAGGGAAGATCTTGCGCTCTGTCTCTCCTCCTCTCTGTATATCTGACTTTCCAATTAAAAAAAAAAAAAGAAAAAGTCAACTGTACAGAATACCTGAAGGAATGGATGCATGTGTTCCATTAATATTCCATTTACAAAACAGGTGTGTCAAAACAAAACCCAAACAACTCAATTCTGAAATGGGTGAAGCATTTGGACTGACATGTCCCTTAGATGATACACAGATGTCAAATAGCACCTGAGAAAGTGCTCCACATCACCAATTAGAGCAAGGCAAGGCAGAGCTAGACTGAGTTACCCCCTCACACTCATGGCATTGGCTGGGACACAAAGCAGAACAAAGGGAGTGCTGGTGGGGTCTGGAGAAACTGGGACCCTTGGCTCTGTTGGTGTGAATGCCAAAGGGCCCAGCATTGTGCCAGTCAGCACTGTTCTTTCTCAAAAAGTGAAATTATCACTTGCTGGCAGCTATTCCATTTCTGCTTAACACTCAAAAACACCAAGTCCTCGAAGGGCTGTGTGTACTGCCGTGCTCATAAGAGCATCACTTCCGACACGATGGGAGCCTCCCAGGTGTCTCCTAGCAGAGGAAGTGATAAGGACAGTTTGTACACACACACAGGAGCAGGCTCTACTGCTCAGCCCTCATCAAGGAACTCTGAGCATGACACAGCCTGGGTGACCCGCGAGGACACAGGCTCAGTGATGTCCATGTCACGGCCACAACCTTATGATTCCACTGACAGGATGCAGTTGGAGAAGACAAAGTCATAGAGACAGGAAATGGGAAAAGGGTCAGGGCTGGGGATGGGGAGTGTTGGTTTTATGTTCCCACCTACAGTTTTACAGGACAAGAGACATAAAAACAATGCTTAGAATGATCATAAGGATGCTCCAGGAGATAAAAGAAAATGCAGATGGTTGAAGAAAATAAGGAAGATAAATCATGACATGACTGAGGAATTCAGTAAAGAAAGAGATACTGAAAATGATACCTCCAATCAGGAAAGAAATAGATACTGAAAATGACAATTTCATAGGTTTTAGTAATAAAGAATAAAGTTTTTAAATGGATGAATTTAAGCAGAAGAAAGAATGTTGAAAGATAAGGACAAATTTTTGGTATATCACAGTGAGACAAACATGGAGATTAAGAATGCAGACAGACTCTGAGACACTTGGGGTATTATGAGATGAAACAAGACGCTAATTGTGGATGTCTCTGACAGCAAAAAGGAATAGAGGCTTAAGAAATCTATTTCATGACATGACAGCTCAAAATAGCCCCGGTCTGGAGAAATATGTAGTTCAAGTACAGGAGCTCAGGGAACATCAGATGCACAAACAAAAGACACACAAATGATTCTCACTGTGACTCAGTGTAGTTCTGCTCTCAAAAGTACAACACAGAAAGAAAATCCTTCAATTTGTAAGAGGAAAGTGTCTGGTCATTTTTAAGAAGCTAGCAGGCAGGGCCCGGCGCGGTGGCGCAAGTGGTTAAGTCCTCGCCTTGCACGCCCGGTATCCCATATGGGCGCCGGTTCTAATCCCGGCAGCCCCGCTTCCCTTCCAGCTCCCTGCCTGTGGCCTGGGAAAGCAGTCGAGGACGGCCCAAAGCTTTGGGAACCTGCACCCGCGTGGGAGACCCGGAAGAGGCTCCTGGCTTCGGATCGGCATAGTATCGGCCCGTTGCGGCTCACTTGGGGAGTGAATCATCGGACGGAAGATCTTCTTCTCTGTATATCTGCCTTTCCAATAAAAAAATATTAAAAATAAATCTTTAAAAAAAAAAAAGAAGCTAGCAGGCATTCATGTCAAAGTTTTCAGGAGAAATTTTACAAACCAGGAGGGAAACGAGATATATTTTATCTTCTCAACAAAAAAAATACTGACTAATATGAATATCTCTTCCAACAATATTAGCTTTCATATATATTAGTAAATTCATCAGGCCAGCTTACAAAATGTGTTTACGGGAGCCCTGCATAGGGAAGCATTAGACAAATAACAGCCATTATGAAAACATGTGAAAGTGTAAAATTTGGCAGAAACAGAGCAAATAGTATTCAAAATAAAGAGAAGAAAAGTTCTTTTTTAAAAAAATTATGGAGCTGGATGGGTGTCAGAGCAACAACGCATTATGAATGTGGTACCACAGCATTGTGAAAATGGGCAAGGTGACACATGTGCAATAAGAAATAAAATGTTTAAAACACAATAAACAAAAGCTATTTCAAAATGTCAAAATGAAAAAAGATAAATTTATTTTGGCACTAAAATATCTAAAATCCAGGCATGTATTTTTTTCATGAATTCATTTTTAAGATTCTAGCATGTATGAACTTCACAATCCTTTTGAACCAAAATAAGCTTATCTTTTCATTCCACTTTCCATGGACTTTAAGTCCCTTTGTAGTTCTCTGATTTCACAGCTCAAATTCAAAGGGTATTTTGGAGCTGCCTTGTGAAGCAACAAGCCTGATATGAGGAACACTATATTGAGTTGGACTCAACGCCATGTTTTGTCAGGAGGTACACCTAACACTGAGTAGAAAACCACATCATGTTTGGCAAAACGCTCTAACTCCCTGACTACTTTGCTCAAGCTTAACTAGGAGCACAATCAAGCTCTACGTGGTCCAGTCACCAGAGCTTGCAAAGTCAGCAATTTTCCATCATTAATACAGTTTTGTATTTAACGCAGCTTGAGCTATCCCCTAAATGTCCTATCCCTGACCCCATCTGTGGTTTTGCTTTCATAAACCTTGCTCTTCTGTACTTCAAACTTTAGAAATCTTTCTCACATGAGCCTGCTCTCCACCACTGACTAATAAAGGACTTTCAGATCTTCTCAGTATGTTCCATTCTTTTATTTTGACCCTTCAGGCATCACACTTGTGGTGACATGGATTAGGCTCACCCTTGCAGGGTCAACATCGCTTATTGTCCACTTGTTTGAGTCAGCTTAGTCCTCTATGAATCAGCTCCCTGCTAACGCACCTGGGAAAGCAATAGAAGATGGCACAGGAATATGGGCCCCTGCCATCCCTTTGGAGACTTGGACAAAGTTTGGGATCCTGGATTCGGCTTGCTTTAGCCCAGCTATGGTGACACTGGGTCACTGCACCAGAGGATAGAAGATCTCTCCTTGTTTCTCCCTCTTTACATCACTCTGACTGCTAAAGAAATAAAATTTAAATAGAAATTTAAACATATATAAACATTAAGGTAAAATATTTGATTTGATTTGAAGCTTAAAAAGTGATTACCAAAGGATACAACTCAGAATAATTCCATCCTTACACCAGAAAAAAGATGTGCAAATATAAGTAATTTTGTAACCAGTGATCAAAATTATCAAAGATGAAAGAATACATTTCAAAATCTTGGATACAGAGAGAATAAAGATGGTGGAATAGAGTAAGGACACATTTAAACAGACAGGGAAACATTAACCAGGGTGAAGCACAGACGGCACAGTCCATGAAATAGGAGCAGACAGACCAATGACAGAAGGGTACCTGGAAACTGAGTACACAGGAGAGCAGCGGACGCAATGGTGTGGTATTTTAATGACCAGACATCCCAGCAACATTCAGCCAGCAGGAATCTGAACTGCACCGGTGGCCAGGACTCCACCAGCACCCAGGTGGGAGGGAGAATTCACTGGGAACATAGGAAATGAACTCAAAGAACTGCCCATTCTGCTGGTTTGTTTAATTTGACCAGGACCAGGGACAGAACAGAGATTTCAAACAGGTGGTACTAGGGTACAGGGTGGAGTTCACAGCCCAAACCTCTGGTAGAGCCGAATCAGATATCATCTACTGTAAGGAGGCAAAGGCTATGGGACAGGACTACACATGCAC